GACGACGACGACGACGACGAAGAGGAAGAAGAAAAAGAAGGATGAGAAAGACGGAAGGAATGTTACTACATTTATAAATCGCGGGTTGTCCGTCGGCAATTTGTTCTTACGTTAGTCATCCGTAGTAGTCCGAAGACTGCGAGACTGTCATCCCTGGTTTACATAGCGCCGGCCAAGTCTATTATTCCTCGATGGTTCCTCTAATAGCCTGATATTTGTTTTCATCCTCCGTGGTTCTAACCGCGAGCAAATTCACAGGTAAAACTCGTCTGCCTTGTTCTTTGATGTTTGAACAGTATTTTCGTCCCGCGTCGCGTCTACGAGTGGTAGTTTCCTGCTGTATCGGGAAAACCGATCGGGCCGATCCACCAAACAGCCCCGTACGTTTGAAAAATCTTGTTAGCGACGGATTCGCGACGTGGAAGTTAGTTGTTCGCAACGTCTACGTCTGGACGAATTTATCCGCAGGCGAGAGAATCTTTGTACACGGTTTTTTTCTTTTTTTCGAATTAACTTGCTTCCTTCCTTCCTTCCGAGAGACATCGCCGAGAAACAGCAAGCCTGGCACGTCCACGTCTACGGATTTCTGTTCCATTCAGACGAAATTAACGCGTCGCCGTGGAAATGTTGAACCACTGTTCCTATTATTTTCTAGAATGATATCCCACTTTTCTGAAGCGAACATCTGCTTTCTACCCGTCGCTCACTCTGCACCGCGATTACTTTTTCAACGTTGCTTTCCAAACGTTATTCCTTCTGTTAGTGTGTTTCCAAAGGAAACAATAACGCAAAAGTGTAAGTTTACGTAGCTGTTGAATTTGTTTACGCATTGTACAAAAATACGACCTTAGTTTTTAGATGAAATTACACGACGAAGAAAGTATTGATATATATTCAAAATAGTTTGATATTTATAATTTCAATCAAATATCAAAACTTCGTCATATGCATTAAATAAGTGTTGAAGGATTTCTAAAAAGGAGAGACAGGTTTCATTGATCTTAATAAGGAGAGTATAATCTGGAAAGTATAAAAATACAGCGTGGCACATCCTGTCTTGGAAGCCTGAGTTACGATATCTTTATTTTTCCGTTATTGTATAATATAACAGCAATTGAGAAAGTTATTCCATCTCAATGAATACTGACCACTTCGATAAATGTTCTCGTTAGCGTTATTCTGCCGACTACAAAATCTTCTCACACTTGTAATTCCCAGCTACTTCGAGGAACTTGTTACTACTATTGCGATACTTTTACGATCGATGTACCCTAGTGATAAACGCGAAATTTCGTTTTATTCTCCTTTCCTGAAACCCATCGGAATTTTTTCCCCCCTCTATACATCGTTACTAGTTTATTAATATCAAACGCGTACGCGTTTTTCTGTTTTTCTTTTTGTCGATAGATATCCAGTGGCAAGGAAATGAATACACAATGATACTAGAAATTGCCTTGATAATTCTCAATAATTTTTTGTCGTTGTTCGAGTTGTTTTATACGAGTGATCTTACATAGATAAGTTCATCAGTTTCAAATTCCTACTGTTGATACGCCAAAGAGCATACAAGAGATTTACTCACAGTGAAGTTACTCACAGTGAAGAGCATAACTGTGCATCAATGACAATTGTCGGCAATTTAAAGTGATGTAACTTGGTAAAAAGAGTAGAAGAAAAAGAAGATCATACAACGAGATCAAATCAATTGCGATGCAAAACTGATTCCATGAAGACAATTCATATTTGTCAGAAACATAATCAGTACATATTTAGTTCGTTTTACATTCTACGTACAAACACTCGATGTACAAAGTCTCAATGTGTTTAGAAAACCCATATATATATATTCCATTACGTGTTACTCGACATTGTGCCCAATACACTGAACACTTTTTATTACAATGACAATCACTTAACGAGGCTTTAAATTCGCCGTGAAATGTTGTTGTATCCGTCGAATGTGTTTGTTGCGCACAGCCTTATTAATTCTCCCGTGTGTGTGTGTGTGTGCTCTTGTTGTTGCAGAAACGGTGACGATGCTCGCGAGACAGTCGGAGAACAAAACCTTAACCCTGTTCGATCAAGTGTACCGGGCGATGGCGGTGTTGAGCAGACCCTCGATAAAGGCGCTGTACCAGGCGATGGTTGATTACGTGTCGGCGAGCAACACGCCGGACACGTTGCAGCAGCCTCTCACACGCGACATGCTTCAGGAACGGTTCATCGAGTTCTTCACCAAACTGTTCCCGATCGCGTATCACAAAGCGGTGAATCCCCACCAGTACGAGCAAGATTTCACGGAGAAGTTCAAGACCTGCCTGTACGAGACGATGGACGAGATACAGCCGTTCGGCGACATACCGAAACAGGTAGCGAAATCGGTGAGCAAGAGCTTGGAGGCGACGCGGGTGCTGGTCCAGGCATTGACACTCGGCAAAACGGTGCTGGATAGGACGGACAGCGTGCTGTTTTCCGGTACTAGCCCTCAGCAGGAAGCCTGCTACGGTGCGCTGCTCAGGATGACCTATTGTCCCAGGTGCCAGAGCATCGGTCCCTCTGTCAGGCCCTGCAGCGGATTTTGCACTAACGTCATGAGGTGAGAGGCACCTATACAGCCTTTGGTAATTATCTAAGCCTCGCGGACCCGCAGGCCGCCTATTCACCCTCGCCTTTGTTCATTTTCAATCGCATTAGTCATTGTGTGACGTAGCCGACTGACCTGTGGGAATCGTCTCGAGACCGAGCGTATACGCTCTTCAAAAATTCATTCACACCCACCCGGTTTTCTCGGAATTTTCTTGGAACGACACGACGAATCCATTCAATTCATCGTTATCGGAACGTAGAGAACTACAATAACTTGGATTATATTGGCACTCGAAATTAGATTACTCCGATTTCAATCAGAAGTAGAGTATTTTAGATTAGATTAAATCATTTAGTTTAAATCGTTACCGATCATTAATCAAGGATTTTCTTTTTCTTTTTTTAATGAATTTCATTGAATTGATTTCGAATTCACAATAAAGTGTTCGCAACACGTTCGTATAAAAATATCCCGTGATCTATTTTATGTTCTATTTGAATAATCTTGCGTGCGTAAATATGGAACAACTTAAATATTTGTTACATGTGCACGCATTATATGTCGTTTTAGTTCAAACACGACCGTTTCCAAATTCCGAATTACGCGAAGCGTATTGAGCTCGTTGCAACTTCAAATTACGCATAATAATATACATGTTAACAACCATTTGGCGTGCAAGGTAAACACCGGTTAACCGTGTTAATTCTGCTTACATCCGATTGTTAATTGCTGAAATTTCGCGTGTTGCCGCGTTCGTCGAGTCAAACCATCTAAACTGGGAAATGAATTGCCATTCAGCGGCGAAATTAATTCAAAGTTTACCCGTTTGCACGGAATAAAATGTCGCCCCTGCTCGTTCCCACGAAATGATCGGGCACGTTTAATTCGTTGCATAAAATAATCGTACACACGTTACATCATCCCGAGCATTCTACGGAATTCTGAGAGAGCAGGAGCAACCTCTTTTAAGCCAGGCAGAAGGCGAAGTTTTAATTTCTGGCTGAAGTGTCCAGACAATATCTAGAGGCTCTGTTCATCCTGTTTTCAACGCTTGTTGAAAGATTATAACACGCGCCAGTGCGTAAGATTATTTTCTCTTTCTTTTTTGTTTTTTTGCAACATTTCAATTTCACTGTAAACCACTCGCTCTAAAGTGCAAAACTTGAAGCTTGAATCTCAGTTCGTCGATATTTTGTTTTGCCGATTTTCTAACATGACGATGATCTTTAATCAGTCACGCATTTTTTTCTTTCTTTCTTTGATCTTTTTAAAGATTCCTACTTGCTTCTATGTAGCAAAATCATCGCTGATGACGAAGATTTTTATCGGATTTAGAATAGAACGAAGTAGTCTGGCCACTGTTCTTTACGCGTTTCTTTTACCCTTAACGACTCGTTCTATATTCTACATTGTACGTTGACTTCAGTTACTTTCACTTTCTTTTATCGCCTTTGATGCGTCGTTCCCACGTGCGTGGACTGGTATTCGTAGAAATGTTCCCGACTTGCCTGGCCAGTTCAACCTCAAGCATTAATTTTGCAAGTTTTCACGCCCCATTATAACAGTGCATCGAAAAACGTGTCTCGAAAAATTCTTAACTCTGTTTAAACAAGCTGGAGGACATTAAAGGATTACAACAAATTACCTCGTAACGTTCGATGAAAATATATCTGAATTTATCGGTTTTCGGAAATATTTGCAATCTCGTGGCATTTCACGACACAACAATTCCGCAACATTTGGATATTTATTACGTTACAACACGTACTCGTTGATATGATAAATACGAAGGC